TTTTGCCTCTGCAACAGCCCGGGCCGCGGCACGCTTGGCCTGCCGGTACTGGACAGCTGCCTCAGGAGTCCCCCGAACCATCATGGCTCGATAGGACTCCTTCTTCAGCCTGACAGCATCCCTTACTGCCGGTGTCCACCACCGGGTTCGGGGGTTGCCGCCGGGACCAGCACCAGAGACCTTGCGACCACAGCTACGAGCCGCCGCATCGGCGATTGAGGCAGAGAACATGGTCCACTCGGACTCCATGTCTCCCTCCTCCGCCGGGACCTGGGAGAAACTCTCCCGGAGGTGTGAGTTGAAAGTCCGTCTGACAGGGGGCTCAGCGAGACGTTCCCAGCAGACCCTCACTATACGCTTGGGTCTGCCAGGTCTGACCGGCTTCTTCCCCTGCCAGCGGATCCAACTCACGACCAGGTGATGATCGGTTGACAGCTCCGCCCCTCTCTTTACCCGAGTGTCCGAGACACGCGGTCGAAGGTCAGATGATACGACAACAAAGTCGATCATCGACCTCCGGCCTAGGGTGTCCTGGTGCCACGTGCACTGGTGGACACCCTTGTGCTCGAACATGGTGTTTGTGAAGGACAAACTGTGACTGGCACAGAAGTCCAACAACTGAACACCGCTCGGGTTCAAATCAGGGGGGCCGTTCTTTCCGATCACCCCTCTCCAAGTGTCACTGGCGCCTCCCACATGGGCGTTGAAGTCCCCCAGGAGAATGACGGAGTCCCCGGGCGGTGCACCGTCCAGTACCCCTCCCAAGGACTCCAAGAAGGCCGGGTACTCTGCACTGCTGTTAGGCCCGTAGGCCGTCACAACAATGAGAGACTTGTCCCCCACCCGGAGGCGGAGGGACGCGACCCTCTCATTCACCGGGGAGAACTCCAACACATGGCGGCTGAGATGGGGGGCAATGAGAATGGCCACCCCAGCTCGCCGCCTCTCCCCGCGGGAAACTCCAGAAAAGTGGAGCGTCCAACCCCTCTCAAGGAGTTGGGTTCCAGAGCCCAAGCTGTGTGTGGAGGTGAGGCCGACTATCTCTAGTCGGTATCGCTCAACCTCCCCCACGAGCTCGGGCTCCTTCCCCCCCAGTGAGGTGACGTTCCACGTCCCAAGAGCCAGATGTTGTGTGTGCGGACTGGGTCGCCGAGGTCTCCGCCTTCGACTGCCGCCCAGTCCTCTCAGCACCGCGCCACCACGGACCCCTCTGCAGGTGGTGGGCCCACAGGAGGGACTGCCCACGTCATCCCTTCGGGCTGAGCCCGGCCGGGCCCCGTGGGCTAAGGCCCGGCCACCAGGCGCTCGCATACGAGCCCCGACCCCAGGCCTGGCTCCAGGGTGGGGCCCCGGCTGCGCCATGCCGGGCGACGTCACTGCTCTCGTTATAGTGCGATCCATGGTGGTTTTTGGACTGCGCTTCGTCTGACTCGTCACCTGAGACCTGTCTGCCATGGGAGGCCCTACCAGGGGCATGAAGCCCCAGACAGCATAGCTCCCAGGATCATCCGAATACTCAAACTCCCCCACCACGTTAAGGTGGCAGTCCAGGGGGGAGCCTCACTCACACATCATATAAAAACATGTTGACATAAAACTAACACTCCCACTGATGTCTGCTGTCGTTGTGTCCTTGGGCAAGACACTTAAACCAACTTTGCCTGAAGCCCCTGCTGAAAGACCAAGGCTCCTGTGGACTCACCACCTGCAGGAGGATCAGTGAGGGGCTGGTGCTCTGTGTACTGGGTACAGCTCTGACTGCCAACCGCCACAATTTGATAAATGTCGGCATATGAATGGAATCACAATTGTTTTTCGACGTGTGCTGTATTTATAAACTATCCATCCGTCCACCCCTTAATCCGTCCACAGGAGGATGGCTGCTCTATGCATAGCCTTGATCTCTCAGCAGAGGCTTCAGGGCAAAGCAGGGTTAAGTGTCTTGCCCAAGGACACAACAACAGCAGCCATCAGTGAGAGTTGATGGAGAATGTCTCATGGTGGGCTTGAACCCACAACCTTCAGGCTCAAAGGCCAATGCTCTACCAACTGAGCCACTGTCACCCATTTAAAATTTAAAATCTACAACAGAAGATAATATGTCATGTCACAAATCAGCGGCAGTCTGACCGCCCAAGTCGGTCCAACAGTGGGAACTTTACACTTGCTTAAAAAGGCAGAAAAAACCTCCACAGCTCAGTGATGTCACAGATCAGAGTATTCCGGTTTGTGCTGGTTTATTAGCTCTTACTTGTTATTTGTTTTTCACTCATTAGTCCAGATTCTACATGGCCTTATTCATCTTTTTACTTACTACTAACTGACACCTCCCCGGGTTAAAGCTCGGGTTCACTAATTAGTACTTAAAGCTGCACTAACTGACTTTATTTTTGTATTAATTACGAAAGTGCTATCCATGTCCATGTAGTGCATTGAGATATACGTCCATTTGAAGAAAAAGTAGCGCAGATTTGTGCTAGAATGAGTCTGGTGTGAATGGTTGGTGGTGGTGGGAGGGGTCGATAACACAGACTGGTTGTTTAGCTTCTGTCAGTGTGCCCCAGGGCAGCTGTGGCTACAGTTGTAGTTGATCACCTACTGAGAACGAATAATGAGATGTAAAGCGTCTTTGAGTGTCCCAAAAAGTCCAATATAAAACAAATGCATTATTATTACAAAACTATAGGGATAAGAGGTGTAAAGTGTCTGTCAGTGTGCCCCAGGGCAGCTGTGGCTACATTAGTAGTTTATCACCACCATGTATGGAGTGAATGAATAATGACACATGTGAAGCGTCTTTGAGTGTCCAAAAAAGCGCTATATAAAACCGATGCATTATTAAAGGTTGTTCATGCATCCTTTGCAGATATATAGGAGGATTTTTTACTTCCAAGTGGACCATCAGGACTAATTGTCAAACATTCTGTTGATACGTGCTCGTCAAACAAGAGTGAAGAGAGCAGTTCTTTCCTAATAATTGGGAAAATCCTCCTAAAAACCTAAAACCCTGACCCTGACCTCAGTTAGGTTCAAAAGCAGCTCACCGCTCTGTCCTCGCTTCATCTCCCAAACAGTGGCGCCACCTGCAGGTGAAAGCCAGATCCAGTCAGACCTCTGAAGCTAAGAAGGGCAGGGGCTGGTCAGTACTGTGATGGGAGACCCTGGGAACAGCACTCACTGTCTGAACCTTCCTCACTGAGGGACGAATAAAGGTTTATTTTATCTCACTTCTGTCAGTCTGCCCCAGGGCAGCTGTGGCTCATCACCACCATATATGGAGTGAAATAAAAAATGCTTTGAGGAAAATGTCCAGAAAAACCTGATGCATATTACTATTTTAACAACTCATTAAAGCAAAGTGTTTTTGCTCCTGAGTTTAGGATTCTTTTTATCTCAAAGAAAAGAAATCACTTTTTTGCAAATCAGGGCGACTGTCTCGCTCTGTGTCTCTCTATGTGACTTTAGCACAATGTAACATAAAACAACAACATTTAACATTCTCCTTCTCTTGTATCAGGAGTTTCAGAGAGAGACACGAGAGAACAGAAGGAGGCCAAAGAGAGACCAGAGAGAGAACAGAAGGAGGTCAGAAGAAGACCAAAGAGAGACTAGAGAGAGACATGAGAAAAGAGACCAAAGGGAGAGGGACCTGAGAGAGACCTTAGAGACAGAATAAAAGAGAGAGAGACATGAGAAAAGACCAGATAGTAAGCAGTAAGTAGATAAATACAGTGCCTTGCGAAAGTATTCGGCCCCCTTGAGCCTTTCAACATTTCGCCACATTTCAGGCTTCAAAGATAAAGATATAAAAATTTAATTTTTTGTCATGAATCAACAACAAGTGGGACACAATCGTGAAGTGGAACGAAATGTATTGGATAATTTAAACTTTTTTAACAAATAAATAACTGAAAAGTGGGCCGTGCAATATTATTCGGCCCCCTTGTGCTAATACTTTGTAGCGCCACCTTTTGCTGCAATTACAGCTGCAAGTCGCTTGGGGTATGTCTCTATCAGTTTTGCACATCGAGAGACTGGAATTCTTGCCCATTCTTCCTTGCAAAACAGCTCGAGCTCAGTGAGGTTGGATGGAGAGTGTTTGTGAACAGCAGTCTTCAGCTCTTTCCACAGATTCTCGATTGGATTCAGGTCTGGACTTTGACTTGGCCATTCTAACACCTGGATACGTCTATTTGTGAACCATTCCATTGTAGATTTGGCTTTATGTTTTGGATCATTGTCCTGTTGGAAGATAAATCTCCGTCCCAGTTTCAGGTCTTTTGCAGACTCCAACAGGTTTTCTTCCAGAACGGTCCTGTATTTGGCTCCATCCATCTTCCCATCAATTTTAGCCATCTTCCCTGTCCCTGCTGAAGAAAAGCAGGCCCAAACCATGATGCTGCCACCACCATGTTTGACAGTGGGGATGGAGTTACGCCAAACATATTGTTTTGCATTGTGGCCAAAAAGTTTGATTTTGGTTTCATCTGACCAGAGCACCTTCTTCCACATGTTTGGTGTGTCTCCCAGGTGGCTTGTGGCGAACTTTAAACAAGACTTTTTATGGATATCTTTGAGAAATGGCTTTCTCTTCTTGCCACTTCAAGATCCTCACTGAACTTCTGGAGTGAGTTTGCTGCACTGAAAGTAAAGGGGCCGAATAATATATTGCACGCCCCACTTTTCAGTTTTTATTTGTAAAAAAAGTTTAAATTATCCAATAAATTTTGTTCCACTTCACGATTGTGTCCCACTTGTTGTTGATTCATGACAAAAAAACAAAGTGCTGTACAATTGATAGACCAGAGAGAGAGACAATAAAATACAATACAATTTATTCTTGTATAGCCCTAAATCACAACAGCAGTCATCAGAGGAACAAAACCAGAGACCAGAGAGAGACCAGGAAGAGAGACCAGGGAGAGACCAGAGAGTGACCAGAAAAAGAACAGGGAGAGACCAGAGAGAGACCAGAAAGAGATCAGATAGAGAGAGAGAGATCAAAGAGGATAGAAAACCTCATCAGCAACTAACACAAAAAGACTCAAGAACAGGGGTATGGAGATTTCTGCTCAGGGTCAGAGCAACCTCTAAATGTGAAAAAGAATATGTATATGTGTTGTAGTGTGTGAGATCCACTGCTGCTGCTGCTGCTGCTGGTGCTGCTGCTGATGGTGTGTGCACCTGGTTTGTGTGTGTCCTCTGTGGAGTCTTTGAACCGGGTCCAGGACATGTTTTGTTTAATCTGGACGTGATCCACGCGGCTCCTGTTGAAGCGCCAAAAATCACATCACAACACGCTCCCAACTGCACCTGCTCCGACAAGGACTGTACTGCAGAGCTGGAGCTGCACTGACAGGACACTCACTGAGAGGACCCTCACTGTCAGAGAGAGACCAGAGAGAGACTATGAGAGACTATGAGAGACCAGAGAAAGGGAGTAGAGAGAGACCAGAGAGAGAGAGACCAGAGAGAGGGACCAGAGAGACCAGAGAGAGAGACACAAGAGAGAGAGAGAGGGGTCAGAGAGAGACCAGAGAGAGTCCAGAGAGATAGACCTAAGAGAGACCAGAGAGAGAGACCAGAGAGAGAGACCAAAGAGAGATCAGCGAGAGAGACCAGAGAGACCAGACAGAGGCCAGTGAGAGACCAGCGAGAGAGTTAGACCAAAGAGAGACCAGAGAGAAACCAGAGATAGAGACCAGAGATAAACCAGAGAGAGACCAGAGAGGGACCAGAGAGAGAGACCAAAGAGAGTGCAGAGAGAGAACAGAGAGAGACCAGAGAGAGACCAGAGAGAGACCAGAGAGGGACCAGAGAGAGAGACCAAAGAGAGTGCAGAGAGAGAACAGAGAGAGACCAGAGAGAGATCAGAGAAAGACCAGAGAGAGACCAGAGAGAGACCCAGTCCTGTCCGAGCAGCTCCAGCTCTGCAGCTCCTCGTCCTCCTCTAAGCCTCTCGTCCACAGCACGAGGCAGAACACACAAAAACCTGGATTCGCTCGGACCAGCGTCAGGGCGTCGTCGAGGCCCCCGGGGGACACACAGTATGAACGGCACTGAATGAAGATTACAGAGGGTTTTACTGTCGCTCGCTCGGACAAACAAACGGCGAGCCATTGTGCAGAAGCGCCGCCGGATTACTGCCAGTGTTTACACCGGCCCCAAACTGGACCCAGATCTGGAACACAGGCACTTTCGGGTCCGGAGGCTTCCAGACCCGACTGTTTGTGTGTCTGCAATATTTACATTTATGTGAAGGATGCTGCAAAAATGTGACTGAAAATAAGTTTAAAAACAATTGCAAAAAAAAAAAGCTAAGTGTATCTTTATCTGAGCACGTTCTGACTGAGCCTTAAAACAAGATTTTCCAACGGGACAAAAGAAAATGATTGTGTTTTAAAAAGAAAAGAACCGCCCTCTCCACTTTTTGAACAAAACTCTCTGGTCTTATTGGACGAGAAAGTATCAAGTTTGTGTAAACTCTCAGTCGTGCAGGGATTATTCAAAACAAAGTTAGGTGAGATTTTAAACTTGCTTATTTACTATGCTTGAGTTACAGATTTTATAGAGATTTTTATAGATTCTGTACTGGCTTCTTTAGATTCAGATTCATTTATTTGCCATTTGCAGTAAAACCACATTGCAAGAGTCCCCAGTGTGCACAAGACAAGTACATACATAAAATAATATTATGTTAAAGTTAGAGATTTTATACTTCTTTATTAGGCTAAAGCGAGGTAAGGAAGGTTTCGCACCCATCCTCTGTACTTCAGTTTTCAGGTTTTCCCGACGTTTTGTCACCAGAGTGATTGACATTTGGGAGGACCAATCGTCTTGATGTATAACTTTGCGATAAGATCAAGGTCAAGTTTATTTATAGAGCCAATTTTAAACTGTCCCAAAGTGCTTTCCAGACATCACAAAATACAACACACACAAATTCAGCTCAAACTTGAAATACTGGGCCACTACAATAAAAGTTAGAGTTAAAAATCCAGAGCGAAGAAATGTGTCTTTAGCTGTGATTTAAAGTTCTCCAGAGAGAGAGAGAGGGGGGGCAGCTCTGACGCGATAAAGGAGAGCACTCCAGAGACTAAAAAACTCTTGATTCAAGCATTTATTACCTCAGGCTTGGCAGGAACTTTTAATAAGACGTAAATGTAAAGAAACTAGAACTGCTTAATTATCTGATCTGTTTCTGTGGTAGACTCTCTGTGGTACTCCTCAGGGATGTATTTTGAGTCCTTTGCTTTTTACTTTGTACACTCACGATTGTGTGTCCTCCTCTGACTCAAACTTGATCATCAAATATGCTGATGACACCACCATCATCGGTCTCATCAGTGACAATGATGAATCCTCTTATAGAGCAGAGATACAAAATGTGGTTCAGTGGAGTCAAACTAACAACCTCCAGTTGAACGCATCCAAAACATGTGAACTGGTCTACGACTTCAGTCGCAATAGTTCTCATTTGCCTGTCGTAATCGACAACTCCCAGGTGCAGATCGTAGAGGAGTGCAAGTTTCTGGGTTTAACTCTGTCTAACCTGAAATGGGTTAAAAACACTGACCGGGTCGTTAAGAAAGCTCGTCAGCGTCTCTACTTTCTGCGTAAACTTAAAGAATTTACCACTAACTCTAAGATTCTGCTTAACTTTTATCGCTGCACCATTGAGAGTTTACTTGTTGGTTCTGTGTCTGTGTGGTTTGGAAACATCACAGATAAAGAAAAGAGAGCTTTAAACAAGGTGCTCCGCTCTGCAAAGAGGACCGTGGGCTGTGAGCTTCCTGTTCTGGAGGTTCTTTATACATCCAGACTTTTAAACAAAGCTCTTAGGATTGTTAATGACTCTTCTGGCCACCCTGGAAAAGCCATGTTCCAGCTTCTTCCCTCTGGCAGAAGATATCGCTCTCTGAGATGCAGGACATCTCGTTACACTAACAGTTTTTATCCACAAGCGTTTTATTTGTTTTATTTCTGTCTTTTAATGTTCTTTTATGTCTGTATTTGTCTGTGCACACTGGATACCTTTGCTAATGTATTCCAATGCTGTGTTTTTACTGCAAATGGCAAATAAACTGAATCTGAATCTGAATCTGATCTGAATCTGAATCTGAATCTAGACTTCCATCTTTGTCATTTTTTGCAGTGTAAAAGAACTTCTTCTAAAGCTCAAGACCCACATTCCTAACTTTTAAACTAGGTCTATATCTTATATATTTTTGCACTAGAATTTACACTAGTGATTTTATACCAGCTTCTTTGTTATGCTAAAGATAGAGATGTTATACTAGCGTCTTTATTGTGCTAAAGTTAGAGCTTTTATTTTAATTTAGAGCGAGATTCGACTGGAGAAAACCCCATTAAGTAAAAAACTCTTTAAAAAAAATAAAAATACATTGTTAAACTGGACTTTCCCCGTGAATGAAGAGAACTGATTGGCCAATCTACTGTATACGGCTCATTTCTTGACTCAATTCAAACTATTTCTTCCAAAATCCCATTGACTTGAATGGGAGCAGTCACAATGACGGCTGTGGGCGCGCTGGTGCAGACGGCGCAGGGCGGGTGTGGCGGCTTGTGGCGGGTGTCCTCTCCTGTTCACTTGTATCATCTCCAAATTGCGTTAGACAGAGCCACAATAGCACTTACTGGATGAACTGCCGCTGCCGTCCGTCTTTATAGAATTTGTTGATAAAAGTCCAGAGGAATAGCCCTCAGTGTTCGGCAAATTGAGTTGGTGCGCTGTCAGGCCGCCCTCCCCCTCCTCCTCACCCCTCTACCCCCCTCCTCCCGCTGCTGGGACCAATGGGACATGACTTGAATCTAATGCTTTATCAATGGGCGGATAGTTCGACGGCCGAGCGCAGTCAACACGGCTTTGTCCGCCCGGTCGATCGCCGTGCGAGACCGGGGCCAGCGATACTTCAATAAAGGCCGTGATGGATGAGGGGAGCTGGGGCAGAGTGAGGCGAGCGGAGGGGGAGGTCCAGGAGGGGGGGTCTGTGGTCATATTGATGGAGCCCGGACTGCAGCACACACTCTGTAACGGGGGACTTCATCTGTGGGGAGCTCCGGGTGCTGCAGTAATAGCGACTAATTTAAAGGAGATGAATTAGGACATAGAGAAGCTACAGGACGTCATCACAGGACTCGAACGATTCTGAAACTATTTGACGGCTTCCAGTTCAAGCCAATTTGACTTTCAGACATTTCTCAACAACAACAAAATATCACCAGACTGAAAGTAGCAATTTGTAAGATTTTCATGTCAAGTCATCATTAAATGGCCCTACTCTGTCAAAAGGTATTTATAAACCATGTTCTTTTTCAATACTTCTTTAACTGATAACTGTAGTTCAGAGATATTTGAATTACTTTTACAGCCCCTAAATCTTGTTATTGTTTTCATTCCGATGCCCCGCCCTCCACCGTTTCACCAATCAGAAAGTCTGTGATCCGGGTGCCAGAACTCACCGCGTGGAGAAATTTCACTGGTAAAGTATCATGTGGCGCAGAACTAAAAAAGTTGTTGTTATGATTCTCAAATCATTAACGACAAAACAAGGAGTAAAACCAGGATTTCTGTCTTTGTGAAAAAGGTGTTGGTTATAGATTTGTTGTTGACACAACTCTTGTCTATTCAGCTGTTATGGTCCCAGCTGGATTCGTCTGCATATCTGGCAACCTGAGTCAGGGAGAGTGGGAGAGGCTGCAGTACCACTTTTGGCCAGATTTTTAAATACAGCTACTTTAATAAAAGAAAGTAGTAGTCGTAGTTTATTTCTTTGGTTATTATGGACTTTAGAACTTGGATCACATGTCTTTGGAAGATGTCGCATTTCATGACATCTTACGAAGATTACTGTATACATTTTACAATAAAAGAACTAAAATGTGTACACTTAGAATGTTTTTAAAAAAAACTTTATTCTTGTTTACTAAATGCTAAAACTGTTTGTTAACAGGCTAAATGCTAAAGAACAAAATTCTAACTGCTAAGAGGAAAAAAAAAACGGTGTGTTGCTATAGTAACCAGCACTTGCTTGTCTAAAAAGAGATACAATAATTTCTTTAAAGATTATGACACAAAAAAGTACATACTAAAACTAACCAAAATGCCGTCAATTTAACTGCTCTGGGGGTTCTAGTGTTAAAAATGATAATGAGACGGTGGGACGAAAAGGGGTGTCCAAACTTTTTATTCAAGGACCACTTGCGTTCTCCAGACTGGTCCAGGCGCCGAACATCCGTGCTGCTCTGGGTTCAATTCCACCTCCAGGCCTTTCTGTGCATGTTTGCATGTTCTCCCCGAGTCTAAGCAGGTTTCCTCCGGATGCTCCGGTTTACCCTACCACTAAAAAAATGTACAGTAGGTCTGGCATGTGCCTCCTGTTTGACGCCCCCGCTCTGTGTGGAGTGAGAGACTAAACCTAACACTTTGTGACTCTGGTCTGAAAGAGATATTTAGATAAAGATTGCTTACTAAAAGAGTATAGCATGAATGTATTGGTGGAGGGGAAGTTGGCTGGATGACAGTGAATGTATTATTGTGTTTCATATGTCGTCAGGGCAGTGGTGCTAATCACAAACGTAGGACAGGACGTGACGTACCCTGGCGGTGCAGTCTGCCAGGTTTCTACACGGAGATATAGTAGAAGAAGAAGGTCTGTCAAAATGCCATCTTTTTGTGCAGTGTACGCTTGTAGCAACCGCAAAAACAGAGAAAGACAAGAGTTTGTTCATGTTCCAACTGTGGTCTCATATAAAGGAGGACACAAAAAAATCACTGGAATGAGGCGGGCGAGGTGGATCAAGGCTTTCCCAGATAAGCGCCCCCTGCAGGCCACCCCAATGAAACTCAGTAATTTCTTGTTTTTCTTTCCAAAAATGCCTGAAATCAAGATTCTTTTGAGAAATATTTGTTAGTACTCCCTTAGAATTGAGTGTCCCCGATTAAGACTGATACAACAACCGTACACCGCACAGGAGGAGAGCCTTTTACTCCAAAACAGACTTTACATGGTTTTCAATGGGAGCAACACTGAGTGGTCCCACCTCTGCTCATACGCCCCCTACAGGCCAGGTTCATGAAACCCAAGAATATGTTTGAGATAAACGGATAATTTAGTGTTGGCAAAGCAGAGGGACACAGCGGGCTGTAGTTTGGACATGACTCTATTAGAATGTACACTGTATGGTGACACAAGTTTATTTAATTCAATATTCTTTATTTAAACATACTCATACACATACTAACTTGTATGTGTGTTTGTAAAATGGAGATATGCCTTTTGACAGGGCCCCAAAATAACACATATATAACAAATGTGACGACGTGTGGATGGTATAAAATGCTTCCCGTCTGTAGCTCTCTATGCTGCCACCAGAGGGAGGGATTTGACATTTACAATGAATGAACAGACAAGAACATCACTTCACCTGAGAAATTACCAAAACTAATTTTCGGGCAATACTTTTGTTAAACAAGTCTTACAATGACATCTCACTATAACAGGACAGAGACGGCAGCTTTGAGACGGAAGGGAAGTTTCTGATGTTAGGGTAGATCCGAACCGGGGGGGCCAGTCCACCAAGCGATTAAATCCGGCCCGCGGTTGATTTTCCATAAAGTATACTTTTTCCGGTATTTTCTGCACCGCTTTGACACATTTGTCTGCTCCTGTCATGTGTGACATTCACATGACATGATCGTTCACTTGTCACTCGCGCTCAACAATGTCATGATAAACAAAGAAAGGTAGATCCTGAATGGAGGAGTTTCAGAAAGAATGACAGTGCTGAGTATTTACTGCTGAAGTTGAAGATAAAGCTTTCACTGAGTATGCTCACTGAGTATGTTCCCTGATTAAAAGAGAGTCTGGTCTCTTTCTGCTCTGTCTCTGGACGACACAGTAGCTGAGTGGTTAGCACTCTCGCTTCTCAGTAAGAAGGTCCTGGGTTTGAATCCGAGTCAGAACAGGGCCTTTCTGAGAGGAACTCGCATGTTTTCCCCCTCTGTCTGCATAGGTTTTCCTCCGGCTGCTCCAGTTTCCCCTATACTACTAAAAACATGTACAATAGGACAATCCTGAACAACCTGAGCATCGACATCTGGAGACTGGTCCCCGGGAGCTGAGGCGACCTCTGCTCCTGACAGAGGCCTGTAGTGGAAGGACTAACTCATTCACTCTCTCAGGTCTGGTCTTTTTGCAGACTATGTCAAATATATGTTAAAAGAATGTTTCCTGCTCAGAGGGGGCGTGTCCCTGGGAAGTGGGCGTATCCATGGGCAGTGGGCGTGTCCCTGGGCATCGTGTCTCTGGTGGGTGTGTTGGAGACTCCTGGTGCTCCTGGTGGTATTAGAAAGGCCATTCACTCATAAATCTGTCGCTGCCACTTCATCATCGACAGGGAGGAGCCATTACTGCTGCTCCCCTGAGGAAGAGGAGGAGGGGTGAGGAAGAGGAGTCGAAGGCAAATGTAATGTATACTCCACACAAATCTCTCTTTATGGTCGAGTGGAGGAAGGTGCGATTTAGAGTTGAGTCTTGATTCCTGCACAAACACGTCACAAAAGTATTTCTTTTAATAGTAGTTATTATTATTGGGGACATCTGAGACCCAGGACTGAGGCAGTAGATCCAGGACTGAGGTTGTAGATCCAGGACTGAGGCTGTAGATCCAGTACTGAGACTGTAGATCCAGGACTGAGGCTGTAGATCCAGTGCTGAGACTGTAGATCCAGGACTGAGACTGTAGATCCAGTACTGAGACTGTAGATCCAGTATACTGAGACTGTAGATCCAGGACTGAGGCTGTAGATCCAGTACTGAGACTGTAGATCCAGGACTGAGGCTGTAGATCCAGTACTGAGACTGTAGATCCAGGACTGAGGCTGTAGATCCAGTACTGAGACTGTAGATCCAGGACTGAGGCTGCAGACCCAGGACTGAGGCTGTAGACCCAGGACTGAGGCTGTAGATCAAGGACTGAGATTGAAGATCCAGGACTGAGGCTGTAGACCCAGGACTGAGGCTGTAAACCCAGGTTTGAAGCTGTAGATCCAGGACTGAGGATGTAGACCCAGGACTGAGACTGTAGATCAAGGACTGAGATTGAAGATCCAGGACTGAGGCTGTAGACCCAGGACTGAGGCTGTAGACCCAGGACTGAGGCTGTAGATCCAGGACTGAGGCTGTAGACCCAGGACTGAGGCTGTAGATCCAGTACTGAGGCTGTAGATCCAGGACTGAGGCTGTAGACCCAGGACTGAGGCTGTAGATCAAAAACTGAGATTGAAGATCCAGGACTCAGGCTGTAGACCCAGGACTGAGACTGTAGACCCAGGACTTGAAGATCCAGGACTCAGGCTGTATACCTAGGACTGAGACTTTAGACCCAGAACAGAGTCTGCAGATCCAGACTAAACTATGTCTCTAACATGTAGCAAACACTCACGTGTGGTCCGACTCTTATTGTGAAGTCGCCTTGGACCTAAAAAATCTCGCGCACGCACAGATCGACGTGTGACGCGGCGGTATATGAGCGGCAGCAGCGGCGGCGGCAGCGTCAGTCCGTGCCCGCCTCCAGAGCGCCTCACACCGGGGGCCCCTCAGCTCCATCCCTCCCTCCCTTTCCCTGCACACACCGCGCGTTCCCGGAGCCATGAGGCGCAAAGAGAAGCGTCTGCTGCAGGTGACGGGGCTGCTGCTTAGCGCGCTGCTGCTGCTGCCGTACGCGGGGCTGTGGGCGCTCTACCGGGACCGCGGGGTGGAGGACGCGGCTGGAGAAGACGCGCTGCAGCTGGTTCAGGTGAGGAGAGCCCCGTGCGTGAGCTCCGGTGTGAAAGGGCTGAAGGGGGGGAAAAGGCTCGAGCAGAGAGAGCGGAGATGGGACTGAAGCCTGACGCGCGGGGGTTCTGTTGGAGCGATGACACTGACACGACCCACAGAAGGACTGCATTTCAGGGGTTTAAATTCACCCAAATAGACCAGGCAAGTTTATATGTATAGCACAATTACATACATATACGTAGGCAATAACTCAGGGTTTTTAACAACACAAGAAAAGAAAAAATATGGTCGTAAATAATCAAAGTGCATTAAAATGGAGCTACAAATCAAAATATACAGTCCTTCAGTTGTTTTTGACCTGGATTTGAAAATTGTCCAAAAAGAAATCTGTCTCACATTTTCAGGAAGACTGTTATAGATTTTGAGTTATTTGTCTTGCACAGTTCATATACATAGGGAACTCAGGATTCTTATCAAACACAAGAAAAGAAAAATTACGATCGAAAATAATCAAATTGCATTAAAATGGAGCTACAATCCTGTAATCCGGGATTCGATCCTGGGTTCGAATCCCGGTCGGACCAGGGCCTTTCTGAGTGGAGTTTGCATGTTCTCCCCATGTCTGCGTAGGTTTCCTCCGGGTACTCCGGTTTCCCCTACCACTAAAAATATGTACAATACAGTAGGTCTGGCATGCGCCTCCTGTTCGGCGACCCCGCTCCCATCTCTGTGTGGAGTGAGAGACAAATGCCCAAAAATAACAATTGTAAACCGCTTTGAGACTCTGGTCTGTGAAAGGCGGTATATAAATAAAGATTACTTACTTACTTACTTACTTACAATTCAAAAGATACAGTCCTTCAGTTGTTTTTAACCTGGATTGGAAAATTGTCCGAAAAGAAGTCTGTCTCACATTTTCAGGAAGACTGCTTCAGATTTGACTTTATTTTTTATAGCACAGTTCATAGACAAGGCGTTACAATCATGGATAATCTCCGTACATTAAAGAGTCCTTCAGTTGTAGCAGAACAGAATCTATTTTGTAACCTGGATTTAAACATTGTCAGAAAAGAAGCCTGTCTCACATTTTCAGGAAGACTGTTGCAGATTTTGGCAGCGTGAATCTGAAACGTTTAGTCCTGACTCTGAGCGTTTGGCAAGTGCTGTATATATATTCACAAATGACTGTTTTTTTAAGCTCGGTTTAATCCCACAAAGATTAATGTTACGAGCTACTTAACTCTCTGGAATCAAGGTTGTAGAAAATAAGGACATGCACGTGATTTCAAAACATTTCAGGTAAAATTAGGTAAACTTATCTAATTTTCAGCATTTTCAGAATCCATTAAAAACTGTGCTTTATTGAAATCTTTGTGAATAGAGACTAAGGATATTGGTAATGATCCAGGACACTCCACATTTAACGACATTTCTGGACATTGGTCTCTTTCCGTTATGGACCAATGTGTTTGTATCATTATATCGGTTTGATTCTCTAATCTGTGTCACCGAATCGATAACTGCGGTTGAGATTGGGGCGACACAAGAATAAATTGAACAGAATTGAATATTGGATCTAAAGAAGTGCCGCTGCCTCCTGTCGCCGTCTGCTGATTACGAGTGTGTTGTGGTCGAGCGCTTCTCTTAATGATACTTCCTTAAATGAACAGCTTTGATTTAAGGAAGTATTTTTGTTTTATTTTATGTGCTTACTTCATTGACAGGAACATTGCACAATACATGTAGTGCACAGAGTGGACATAGCAACGTCCTTTTCATCCCTCGTTCTTGAGTGAAGGCAAAGAACCAACACTGCAAAAAAATTATAAAATATATAAGTATTAAAAGTTTGAATCAAGCGTTTTTAGTCTTATTTAGTCTTATTTCAAGATCTGTTGCTTTGTTTTCTTATCCCAAGGGAGACATTTCTTTTTAAAACAAGCTCATTTGGCCTTGTCCCATTGACAAATCTAGTTTTGAAGGTGCATAGGAGGATTTTCTACTTCCGGGTGGATCATCAGGAGTATTGGTCCGATCATTCTGCTGATACGTGCTCGTCAAAGAAGACCAGGGAGTTTTGTTCGGCTGATATTATCTACAGTCGCTCTGGTCTCACTACGGTCTCTCTCCCTGGTCTCTCTCTGGTCTCTCTCTCTTGTCTCTCTCTCTCTGGTCTCTCTCTATGGTCTCTCTCTGGCCTCTCTTCCTGGTCTCTTTCTCTGGTCTCTCCCTGGTCTCTCTTCCTGGTCTCTCTCTGTGGTCTCTCTCTGGTCTCTCCCTGGTCTCCCTCTCTGGTCTCTCTTCCTGGTCTCTCTCTCTGGTCTCTTCTTGGTCTCTCACTCTCTCTCTGGTCTCTCTCTCTCTCTCTGGTCTCTCTGATTTCTCTCTGGTCTCTCTCTCTGGTCCCTCTCTGGTCTCTCCCTGGTCTCTCTCTCTGGTCCCTCTCTGGTCTCTCCCTGGTCTCTCTCCCTGGTTCTCTCTCTGGTCCCTCTCAGCCTCCTTGGTCCCTCTCTGGTCTCTCTCTGGTCCCTCTCTGGTCTCTCCCTGTTCTCTCTCTGGTCACTCCCGGGTCTCTCTCTTTGGTCTCTCTCTGGTCTCTCCCTGGTCTCTCTCTCTCTCTCTCTCTGGTCTCTCTCTGGTCTCTCTGATTTCTCTCTGGTCTCTCTCTCTGGTCCCTCTCTGGTCTCTCCCTGGTCTCTCTCTTTGGTCCCTCTCTGGTCTCTCCCTGGTCTCTCTCCCTGGTTCTCTCTCTGGTCCCTCTCTGGTCCCTCTCTGCGTCTCTCTCTGGTCCCTCTCTGGTCCCTCTCTGCCTCTCTGGTCTCTCTCTGGTCCCTCTCTGGTCCCTCTCTGACACATTTTGCCAACTTTCAGCTTTTCTAGATTTGTTGTCACCTTATGTAGTGAATACACACAATGGCGTTAGCATTTACAACACAGGTTAACGCAGCACCAATATAGCTACATACACACAATATATACAACACAGTTTATACAACACACAGTAATTTACAATCTGCTTAATGGCTGCACTTTTGATTAACTTTGAGCCACGACTAGGCTGAGTTTAAACTGTCCCTCCCAGTTAGCTCCAGGCCCCTAATGATTTGGCAGAGAAGCAGTTTGGTCTCTCTCCACAACACGAGACTGCCCCCCTCCCCTCCACAGCATGAGACTGGTCTTTCTCTGGTCTCTCTCTCTAGTCTCTCTCTCTCTGGTCTCTCTCCGGTCTCTCTCTGGTCTCTCTCTCTGGTGTCTCACTGTTCTCTCTTTCTGGTCTCTCTCTCTGATCTCTCTCTAGTCTCTCTCTGGTCTCTCTCTCTAGTCTCTCTGGTCTCTCTCTGGTTTCTCTCTGGTCTCTGTCTAGTCTCTCTCGGATCTCTCTCTCTAGTCTCTCTCTCTCTGGTCTCTCTCTGGTCTCTCTCCGGTCTCTCTCTGGTCTCTCTCTCTAGTGTCTCACTGTTCTCTCTTTCTGGTCTCTCTCTCTGATCTCTCTAGTCTCTCTCGGGTCTCTCTCTCTAGTCTCTCTCTCTTTGGTCTCTCTCTGGTCTCTCTCCGGTCTCTCACTGGTCTCTCTCTCTGGTGTCTCACTGTTCTCTCTTTCTGGTCTCTCTCTGATCTCTCTCTGGTCTCTCTCCGGTCTCTCACTGGTCTCTCTCTCTGGTCTCTGTCTAGTCTCTCTCTCTCTAGTCACTCTGGTCCCTCTCTGGTTTCTCTCTGGTCTCTGTCTAGTCTCTCTCCGGTCTCTCTCTGGTCTCTCTCTCTAGTGTCTCACTGTTCTCTCTTTCTGGTCTCTCTCTCTGATCTCTCTAGTCTCTCTGGTCTCTCTCTGGTTTCTCTCTGGTCTCTATCTAGTCTCTCTCGGGTCTCTCTCTCTAGTCTCTCTCTCTTTGGTCTCTCTCTGGTCTCTCTCCGGTCTCTCACTGGTCTCTCTCTCTGGTCTCTGTCTAGTCTCTCTCTCTCTAGTCTCTCTGGTCCCTCTCTGGTTTCTCTCTGGTCTCTGTCTAGTCTCTCTTGGGTCTCTCACTGGTCTCCAAGTTGTGCAATAATAAGTAAAAACTGAAAATATCATTGAATGCATAAAAAGCGTTTGTGTCGTCAGTAAAACTAAACATGGCGCCTGCAAATATATCTCATTTAAATAATCTCCCTCTGGACCAATGGCTTCTATCTGTTTCTTTTTACTATATTTCCTGTGTTCGAACTGATTTTCTGATCTGTTGTTGGTGAATTGACAACTTTGTAAAGTCTTCAGAGACAAATGGAAACAGCTTTTCTGCTTTGAATAAATTTGATTTAATTTAGGAAAGAGCGTGGACAGTATACAGATGGACAATGCTAACCCACCAGCTCAATGAAGCCTAATGGGGAAGTGCTCATGGACAAAGTTTTGCACCAACTTGCTCTGGCTCCGATTGACTTACATGTAAAAAGTGAAAGTAAATTCCTCTAAAAATCCCTGTCTCTCTGTGATCCTGGTGTTTTGTTTACGTGATATTGTCTTTGTAAATCCGGATATGAGCCATGCAAGGATTGACCAATCAGGTGCCTTCATTCGCGCGGGAAACTCCAGCTTGCCCTAACAACCGACATAGCAACATGTCTGCTCCTGTTAAACACCAGCAGCTTTTTACCATCAACAAAACATTAACAGGATCAAAAACATAGTGTCTAAAACAGACAAGACAAGTTTTAAAACACAGCAGCTCGAGTCCTGACTAGAACCAGTAAAAGCCATCACATTAGTCCTGACTAGAACCAGTAAAAGCCATCACATTAGTCCTGACTAGAACCAGTAAAAGCCATCACATTAGTCCTGACTAGAACCAGTAAAAGCCATCACATTAGTCCTGACTAGAACCAGTAAAAGCCATCACATTAGTCCTGACTAGAACCAGTAAAAGCCATCACATTAGTCCTGACTAGAACCAGGAAGTACCATCACATTAGTCCTGACTAGAACCAGGAAGTACCATCACATTAGTCCTGACTAAGACCAGGAAGTACCATCACATTAGTCCT